AGCGCTATTCATTTTTGATGACCGCACCAACCCCACATTGTCCCAGCACCAGAAAACACTAATCTTTGCTTCAAATAGTTCCTCAGGTAAGAACGACAACCCTGTTGCATATGTGGGTGGGATTGATCTCTCCAATGATCGGTGGGACACCATATACCATAACAACTCCGCGATCCGAGATGCAGCGAAGATTACCTTCGAGAATCAAGGCTGGATCGACGGCCAGCTCAGGATCCATGGACCAGCCGCGAAAGACGTCGCAAGAAACTTCATAGCTCGGTGGAACTCCGATTATCTTCCGTGCCAAGATCTAGATGACCATCTTCTTGATTTGGAGAACCCGACCTATGGAAAAATTCCACCACTTGACTACACCAGCAGCAATACAACATCGAGACTCGGTAACCAAAACGTCCAGATCACACGGACCTATAGCTGTCAATACGAACATTACAAAGAGTTTGCGCCCAAAGGCGAGACGTCACTGTTCCAAGCTCGTATTAAGGCTATCAAGAACGCAAGGAATTTTATCTACATCGAAGACCAGTTCTTTATATTCGTACCAGAACTACTTGACGCGTTAATGAAGGTGATGCCGCGGATTCAGTGCCTTATCGTCGTAACGCAAGAGCAAACGAGCGCATTTACGAATTTTGGCTACATCAAGTACCTGTATCAAATGGTCGAGCCAATTCGGTCAAAGTATCCGAACAAGTTTAAAATCTACACGACGAAGGCAGACCGGAAACTTCTAATCCACACAAAGCTAGTGATCATCGACGATGTCTACTTATCCATCGGTTCGGCCAACTGGAACCGACGTAGTATGACGGCAGACCCCGAGCTTAACGCAGAGGTTGTGGATGGTGATACCGTAAAGGCACCTGAGGGGGTAACTGTGGGCAAATTGCCTCGCGATTTTCGCATCCGAAAGTTCGTGGAGATGACGGGATTGAGCTATGAAAAGTTGGACGCCATGACGTTCGTCGAAGCTGCAGATCAACTCGCCATTGCTGCTACAAAGGCTTCCACAATATTGGCAGTCAACAATGTAAAACACCGCTGGTATTTCTTCACTATTACGGAATCCATGCGAAAGATATCAGATCCGCAATTCAATTGCAACGGCAACGCTAGCTGAGTTTCTAGCTTGAGCTTAGAGCAAGTTCTGTTCTCATCGGATTAGCTGCGATCAGTACTGCTGCCACGTACAGTTCGTATACTCAATATCATTCATTTCTTGTGGAATGCATTCCGATAAAACCCCTAGTTTCTCGTCTAAAGTCATTCCATCGGATGCTGCATGCATCGGTATGTGAAGTCGCTAAAATGCATAATTCGAATTTACAGATATTGTATATGAACTCCCCGGCGCAAGAGCTCAGGGTAGCACTGAAAAAGATGTTTTTGTCGTCCCACTATTTGTCAAACTGTAAATGCATTTTAATAATCGATATGGTCTGCTTATGCTGCATACTTGAAGCCGTCTTGGCTCAGACTAATCACTACGAGGAGTGAAATTGTTTGACGCTGAGAATCATTTTTTTTCCTTCTCGAGTAGTATAGTAGAAGAAAAATACCCCCAATAAAATCCACTAGTATGTGGTGCAGCTTCCGCCGGAAAGAAGAAACGTCTAATAGATGCCGATAAGGTGCGTACTATTACAGCAGTACATGTTAATGTTCAACCAGACAAAATGAATCTCTAGCAGTGTCTACCAGACTTCGCAACCGGTACCCGCTTTGGGTAAAGCTGTCACGCGGACTGATAGGGTGCGAGCGCCCGAAAAAAAAAAACGCGTCAGATACGGGTACGCGGTTTAAGAGAAGAAATGAGGACACTGTGTTGTCCAGTGCCCTGCCTGACGTGCTTTTGCTCCATGTCCTACTTAGAGCAGCTTCAACACAGCCCAGTACCAGGGAATAACAGATAGTATCGAGTTTAGAGATACGATAAATAGTGGAATTAAACTCGCTCTCCCTTACATCGTAATGCCTCGAGTTACGTCGAAATACCACCAGTGAGAAGTGCTCGAGCAGTGGAATCAATGACAGTAGCCTTCGCTACAGTTTTACAGGTTTTGGATCCATCGGTCAGTGTTGGAGCCGATATATTGAGATCGCCGATCCAGTGTTCTACCACCATCATTATGCCATCGCTATATGCCTCGAAGAGATACTCTTCCCCACGCGTCTGGCACAAAACGAACTCCTTCCCGCCAAAAGAAGTCTCGTACGCAGTTTCATCCACACAGTCAAGAGGTTTGTCCTGGACAGTTGAGTATGGAATAGCTGTGAGATTGTTAAGGGCCGCCACGATTTCGTCAAAAGGGGTGATCGATGACAGGCATCTGACTGTTTTTGTGGCCTGGTTGTCGCTGTGGGAACTCTCCACCACGTAAGCGGCTCCATCCGCAAGAATGTACGTAAACTCGTCTTCTCCATCGATAAATGTGGTGAAGCCATCGTAGCGTACGCTGGTGGCATCGGGTGAAACTACCGGCTTGGCGAAAACGTCAAAGGCTGACTGTCCGTGAATCTGCATTGCCTTGCCTGTGAGGAGGAAGCGGACAAAGAGAGGTCGGAAGAGGCTTTGAAGCTGCGCCTGTTGAGAGCTTGGTATTTCTTGGTTTTGGAGACTGACCGATGACGCCAGAACCATCGAGAAGAGCAGCAGAGACGCAAGAGTGCCCACTACCGGTCGCATTGCTTTAGTAAGCCGGACAGTGGTAAAATGATGTCTTACCGGGAAAATCCATAATGGAAAATTCCAGCGCAGTAAGCGAATGGTTTGTCAAGACCCAGGTGGATTAGTCCAGCGTATATACTAAACATTACTAATAGTACTTCGCCTTTCACTTGTTTTGGCGGGACAGTGTTAATTCAGACGGAATTAGACCCATAAAAAAAACGATCAGCACATATTCAATGCTATTTCAACATAAGTTTGTGAACTCTTCCCGTACACCGCTGACCAGCGTTCTATTAGATTCAGTTGGCCTGGTTACAGCCGGAATAGCGGCCAGCAAACCGCCAAACGCCTTCTTACTCGGTCTTGATTATCTTATTCCGTCTAAAAGCAGGCTCACCATCCTCGCCCTAAAACCGGCGGAGGTGAGGCAATTCATTCGAATAGAACGCACAATATGACTATAGTTTACTGCCAGTTTACTGTTGGAACTAAATACACAGAACACCAGTTGTAAACTATTACACCCGTTTACTATTGGCACTATACACAATGCTAAATGCTTAAAACTATAAGCTACTGGTACTAATGTCGCGCTTCGTTGTCCAAATGAGCTAACGTGGGTAAAACCGCGGAACAGGTCAGTAAGAGGTTTTAGCTTTTACAAGCCCCGCATTTTTAGATAAGTATCGAGGCATTCTGTTTTAATTCGGATGGTGGACTTTTACTATTCTAAAAAAATACATATTTAACCCCCACAAATATTTGATGTCTATTTGGTTGAAGGCTTCTATTTTTTTTATTAACCTGTTTGACCCAGGAGAACATTGTAAGCAAATATCCTAAAGAATATAAATACCCCACTCCTACACAAACGCACCAAAGCTCTAACTTCATCATCGACAAGGTCTCACTCTCAGGTGAGTGGGTGGTCTTGCACTCTTTCTCCTCTTGTGCTGAACCACTCCAGCACTTCTCTTTTGCGCGTAGGGATAATATGAAGGCCTTGGGCTGCGTTAACTTCCAAAGTCGATTGTGAGGTGCATCTTGCTTCCAGTTTGTTTTGCTAAGTAAAGTGTATCATACCTATGCTCATTTTTGTTTGAAGGATCGGGTCCCTACCATAATGTAGGACTTTATTATTTCAAGGTTAGGTCAGTTTTGGCCCCTGACTTCTAGGCCCGTTCTCAACCGAAGCGTTTTTCGGACGCATGCGTGCTTAACAACCACTTTGCGATTTGATTGGCTGTGCAATCGGCCCATAGGCAGCACGTTTTGTTCGAGTTTTAGCCAATCAAAGACCTCCCCTAACC